GCAGCTAAGGGTGGGGGAGTTGGAAACCGAGTACCTGGATCAGCTGCAGAACCATGCTGGTAGCCACAACCCCTTTGATGGGTTTTAAGGGTTGATGGGCTTCCTCTGGACTATTGCTCGGGGCGGGGCCAGGCTTCCTCCTCCAGTCTGGTCTGGCTTGGCCCCGGGCTTCCTCCAGCAATATTCTTAAGAAATATTTTATGACTCCCTGGGAAAAAATCAATGACAGCAGGAAAGTTATTGCAAACCTAAAAGATAAAATATTCACTAAATAATAATATGTAATAAAGGTACATAAATCTTACACATAGTCCATCTTAGAAAATGTAGGAGAAAAATTGTGTTCACCCTGAGGGGTAGATCTTTATTGTAAATATATAATAATTCCTAAGCTTAAAGAAAGACATGAAGGAAAGAACTATGACTAGAGGATCAGAAATAATAATCATTTCCTATACTTACACATCATTTTTTAGAGATAAAAATAAGTTTACATAAATTCTCTCCTTTTTCAACCAAATTTTTCCTTATAATATGGATGTGTAAATTGGTGTGAATTACCACAATTCATATTTTGTAGATGAGGGCAGAGTAAGGACATATAAGGGTGTTTGGGTAACCCAACAAAGAGCACAATGCTGCCCTCTGCTGCTGCTGGTATAAAGTAGCCTCAGAATAGAATAATTTCTAAGGAATAGGGAAGGTTTTGCAAATACCATAAAATACAATTGGGTATTCAATGGATAAAATATCTGCACAAGAGCCAGTAGATTTCTGAACATCTCACAATAAGCTTTTATGGAGAATAAAGTACATGTCAGCTGAGAATAGGGTAAAGCTGTGTTTGTTCAGGGGTTATACAGAGTAAAATCCAGTCATTTTGTTATTCTAACCTTATGACCTTGTCCACTAGGATCTCAACTGAAGCATCAAACCCCTCTTATTTATTTATTTATTGACAACAACTGTGCATGCATCAATTCTCTCTCCTTAATATCCTAAACAAAGGTGTTTCTGCCAAGTAAAGTGATAAAATCTCTTAAGTGGTGATTGGAGGAAAGCCCTTGTGAATGATAAGTCCTCCACAGGGGTCTGGATGCCCACCAAGTGCCATGGTCTTGCTTTGAGCAGTCACCAAAGTACTTTATGAAAATTAGGCTCTGGGAGTTACTGGGAAAGCACTGGCCAGAGAGCCAATGGGCTTGCATATCAGCTCTCTATGTGGGCATTCATATTCCTGTGCATAAAATAAAGGGCTCATTCATCTTTTCTTTTCTTTTTTTTAGTTTTTTTTTAACCTTTATTTTTATTTATTTATTTTTATTGGTGCTGAGAATCAAACCCAGGGCCTCACACGTGCCAGGCAAGTGCTCCACCACTGAGCTACAACCCCAGCCCTCATTCATCTTTTCTTGATACCCACTCCTTGACACCAACTCCATAGGTGAGATTGTGGTGTATAGATTCACTTCACTGCTTGAAACATTAGAAGTTTGACACGTCTAAAAAAAGACCATAAGTGGTTGTTTTTTTTTTTTGAGGAAAAAGGAAATTTGATCTAACCTGGATCCATGGGGAGCTCAAAATCTTGAGGTTTTCATTTATATTTTTTCCAAAAAGTTTAAAAATGCTCATCTTTATTATCAAATCGATTATGGAAGATAATGGAACAGATCACATTGCAAGGAGCACAGCCGAGGAAAAGGGCGGGATCACAGGGTGAGCCTAAAGGAGCGGAAACATTAAAACTATTAACATTAAAACATACTTATGTAAGTTTATATCTTTGAAATAATAAGAAAAGGTAATTTTAGAAACTTCAAGCATGATCTATCAAGAAGTCCCCTTAACAGGAAAACATTCAGCATTCCTTAATTTAAGCCATTCTAAAAAGTATCGTTTATTTTGGAAACTGTTTTAAATGATCACTTTTAAAAACACCTGCTAATTCACGTTCAGTACAAAATCCTATTTATTATTAAACCCTATAGGTAACTGCGAATGATGGTGAAAGGAAAAGTAGTAAGGGAGACATTTTTTTAAATATACATATATAATGACCTTTTCAAAGATTCTTGTGTAAAACCAGCAGAGGGACAGAGTAAACAGAGAGCAATTCTGGATAAAATTGTCTATTGTGGAACAAATGAATAAAAGCAGAAAGCATCTATGTTTTATGAGAAAAAAGGCAAACATACATAAACAATGACGTGTGTTTGTCAAAATAAAAGTGAGAAATCTTTTTATTTTAAACTAACAAAACCAAAAAGATTAAAATGACAAATGGAATCTGTTTCTTAATTTCAGAGACAGAGGGGAAGATAAATCCCTCCCCCCCTTGGCAAGGAGTACTTATCATTTCCAGTTGCTTCAAATTTAAATCTATTTGGCAAATCTTTTCTCTTGTGAACTTTTGAGATATTTTTCTGAAACATATTCACCAATAGAATAATATGTTTTAACAAATTTGAATGTTGATCATCATTATAGACAATCCTATCATTTTAAATGTAAAGGAATTAAAATAAGACAAAGGTTTTCCTTTTTGGGTTATTATGTTTTGGATATAAATTGCCCTCCAAATGCTCATGTGTGAGAAAATGCAGGGAAGTTCAGAATTAAAATAGTGGGATTATGAGAATTATAATCTAAACAGTGGTTTAATCAACTGATATGGATACATAGATGAAGGAAATGAAATAAGCATACTAAAGACATTCACAGATGTGTATGTTTTATTGTGAAACTACTCATGGTAGCTAAGCCATGATATTAATATGGGTAGTTATCAACAAGAGAAGATATCGTGTTATATATACAAAATGGAGTCATATTCAGCCATAAAGAAGTACAGAATCCTGTTATTTACAGCTTAATGAACAGAAATGGAAAACATGATGATAAATAAAAGAAGCCAGACACAGAAAGACAATATTGAATGGTTGGTCTTGTGTGGTAGTTGAAAAGAAAGTCAATATAAAGATAGAAGAATGATTACTAAAAATGGGCAAAGGTGGGTAGTGAGTAGATCAAGGACATTAGATGAAGAAAGGATGGATTTGATCAGTGTGTACAGTATGCATGTGTGGAAATATCATACTCACCCCTATAAACATGCACAATAACTACATGTTAATAAATAAGAGCAATAACATAATTTTTAAAATAAATAAAAATAAACCAGGAAAAAAGACAGCATACAGCATTGGCTAATAGCAAATCTGCTGAGTTATATACAACTTTGCCAATATCCTTTAATTGTTAAAGGGTTCTAAGCTTTCAGAAAAGGCTTTATTTCAGTTAAGGAACTGGAGGGCAATTTCAGAAGCTTAGGAATTTCTTTCTGTGTGTCATTCACTGATAAAAATCTGATTTTTAGTATTTCCTCTTATTACATTTGGAAGAGAAACTTAAAAACGGATCAATCTGGATCCAAGCCAAAAATCAGACAATGTGAAAAACACTTGATGGATCACAACAGAGGACAGGGAGAAGAAACTAATTACCATAATCATGATTAATGAGATTTTCTAGGATATGAGCAACCATATATTAGTGTAATTCTTGGTGGAAATTGTAGGCACCAGCCTTAGAAGAAACCTGTGAAGTTGTCTATACAACCATTGTCCAATTCAACAAGATCACACATCACTTGCTTCAGTGCCACAGGGTCTAAGGCAGATATTTCCACTGTGTCCAATGAATAATGGTGAAAGTTGTGGAGTGGGAAACTCACAAATGTGCTATGGGGAACACTGCTCTTTAATTCTTTAAGAAAATGAAACTCTAAACCTTCTATTTTTATAATGCAATGATTTGAAAACAGAAATAAAGCTGGTCAGAGAGGGATAATATGACCTTTTACACCCACCATGCATGCCCACTCATGCCTGTGCACAGGCAGCAAAGACACACAAACTCTGGCTCTCTGCTTCAAATCATCCCTCCCCCACATGAAGGCTGACAGACAGGACAAAATGTGGAACTATGTCCAAGGGCCTTAGTAGGGAGGAGATCAGTCTGGTAAAGACAGTAATAATCAATCACCCACATTTGGTTTTCCTCAGCTCCTCCACAAGGCAGCAGGCTTCCCCTTGAACACAGTCCTCAATGTTCCTCTTCCCCAACCCAAAACTCCACAGAGTCATGACTGAGAAGCACCTCATCTCTTTCCATCTGTTTCCATTACTTAAAATGTTTCCTAAAAAAGGAGAACACAAACTAGGAGTGAGATCCCAGGTGAGGCAGAGGAAGCTGATGAGTGGCAGGCAAAAGTTGGCCCAGCTTAGCCTTAGGAGATCTCCAAGTCTCTTTTTTCTGGGCTCCTCCTATCCGTGACCACTGCCCACTACCCCAGGCACATGTACCCTTACCAAGTCCTTTATTAGTCTTTCTAATACTGGGAAACTGCCTCTTCCAGAAAACTCCTCTCCAAGGTCAACCAGGGCTTCCCTCACAGGTTCATATCCATGCAACACCACAGTGGGCCTCATGCCCAAATACAGAGTGAACACAGGGCCATAGACTTTTGACAACTGGAAATGGGAAAGAAAATCCAAATATTAGCCAAAGACATCAGTACTGGACCTATGTATTTTGAATGATTCACACTGTTATTCAGATTATTCTCATTGTACTTGTTGTGTTATTGCTGCCATATGAATCTTCAAATCTGAATTTTGTTAACAAACATGATGGTGATTATAGCTGTCACTTATGGATGGTCTCTGATGCGCCATGCCTGGGTCAGGCAACTGATATCTATCCTAATAATTATAACTCTCACATCAATGCACTTAGAGCACTTATTAATCCTGTTTTACATGTAAACTAAATGAAGTCAAAAGAATTACAAACTCATTTTTAATTTACCATGAATAATAAATAGAAGACCCAAATTTAAACCTATATTTGTCAACTTCTGAAGCTTGGACAACTTATCAGCTCTCAGTACCATCAACTTTTACACCAACACCCAGGTGACTTCTTCAGGGTCACCAGCAGGGCTCGAGCAGTAGAGATCCTGATAAAGTAAGCCAGCAATAAATACTGTAAATCTATATTTTTTAAGTGACCCTAGATGATCTTAACACTCTTTATAGTCAAAACCACAGGTATCACTAATACAGTAGAAGAGCAAGTACCATGGAGACAATGCCAGACCATGCACCATTTCATGGGAGAATAATTTCTCTGACCTCACAGAATTCATAGGGTACAGACTAATGCACTGTGTAGAATCCACAGAATTATGTTACCCACTCCATGCCCCAGCAGACCCTGAATGATCCAATTCTTTTCTTCTCTTATACCGACTCCAAACCTGGAATTTTCTCCTTCTTTTTTTAACAGCTTTATTGAGGTATAATTGAAAAATAAAATTTATATACATTTAGAATATAAAGTGTGATTTTTAAATTTAGTATGCATTACCACAACCAAGGTAATTAACATACACATCACCTCAGTGTTAATATTTTCATTTGTGTGTGCTGAGAACCCATTAGCAAATTTGGGGTATAAGATATATTATGATTTATTGTAGTAACCATGCTGTGCCTTAGGTCTCCATACTTATTCACCTTATAACTGAATACTTGCACTCTGGCAAATATCTCACCTTTTCTCCCACATCACAGATTCTAATACTTACCTGTCTGGTCTCCATTACTATGAATTTGTGGGAGGTTGTTTTGTTTATTTATTTATAAAATACCACATGTAAGCGATATTATACAGTAAAAGTCTTTCTGTCTGGCTATTTCCCTCAGCATAAAGTGCATAGCTCCAGGCTTATTTCATGCTGTTGTGATTGGTAGGATGTCCTTCTTTTTTAAGGTGGAATAAGATTCCATTTTATATATAAACCATACTTGGTTTGATCATTCAGCCATCATGAACACTTGCTTAGGATGGTGTCATTTCTTAACTATTGCAATAATGTTGCAATTAATGTGGCGTGCAGATAACTTTTTTATTTCTTATTAGTTCATTTTAGTTATGCATAATATTAGGGTTCTTTTTTGAAACAATTATACAAGTGTTGAAACAAGTGTTGAATATAATTTGCTCTAATTAATTCCTCAATACTTCCCTTTTTCTTCCCTCCTCCCTCTCCCTATTTCCTTCCTTCTATTCTATTAATTTTTCTTCAATTTGATTTTTTTAAATTAATACCTTGTGGATATAGATAAAGGAGAGATTCACTTTTGATATATTCATATAGTAAACAGAAAAGTGAGGCCAGATACATTCTACCATTCATCTCTTTTCCCATACCTCTCTCTAATCCTTATCCTCTATCCATTGATCTCTTCTATATTTCATAAAATCCCCCCTTTTATTTTTTGTCTCTTATTTTGGTCCAGATTCTGTAGGACAGAGAAAACATTCAACTTTGACTTTCTGGGTATGGCTTACTTCACTTAGCATGATGGTCTCTAGTTTCATCCTTTTAACAAACAAATGCCATAATTTTATTTCTTTTTATTCCTATGTATGGCTGAATAATACTCCATTATGTATCTATACTGCATTTTCTTTAAGCCTTTGTCTATGATGGGCACCTAGTGACATGGCTCCTGGGCTGCCAAGTGCCTGAAACCAGCTGACTGCCAACTAGCAGCCGAGCAGTACAGTGGCAGAGTGGCAGCCCAGGAGGGTTGAAATTCCAGCGGGAAAGCACAGCCTACAGCCACGTGGAAACCATCAGGCAGGCATTTGGGTCCTGAGGGACTGTGGACCAAAGCATTCTGACCTGTCACTTTTGGCATCCAGGCCTGGGCATGATATTGACGTCTGCTATAGAAGCCCAACCTGCTTGGCACAGGACTGCACTCAGAAGTTCTGAGCATAGTCCATTCTAGGACCTCAACCTCCCACTTCCTGACCCGCAGTGAGAAAATGGAAGTGGAGCAGACTTGGATGAAAGTTGGAGTCCAGTGTGGGAGGAATAACTCAAATAACATGCCATCCTTGCATGTTATTTGAGTTACATCCCTGGCTGGGTGAGAGGCGCTTAGACACAGCTATGTTAGAGCCTTCCCCACCCTTTTTTAGGTCCGAGGGCTTGTCCATGCAGAGGCGTGTCTGGCCACTGCCACAATCGTCGCCCCTGACCTTGGGATATGCTGCCCCCCTTAACATTCATTTGATGGGATTTCCCCAGAAAGTTTTTGTTCCCTGATGCATATATTATTCATTTTATGGATGATATATTATTGGCTCAAGCTAATCCAGAAGTACTTTCAGAAATTTTTACTCAGTTAGAGGCTTCACTTACAGCAATGGGTTTGTGCATTGCTCCTCAAAAGTTACAAAAGATGCCTCCCTTTCAATATTTAGGTCAGATAATTCAAGGACATACAATCTGTCCTCAAAAATCTACAGATAAAAGTTAAGGAATTACATACCCCTAATGACTTTCAAAAATTATTAGGAGATATTAATTGGCTGAGGCCATCCTTAAAACTGACTACTTCTGATTTAAGTCCTTTATTTCAGATATTGCAAGAAGCCTTCTCCAACTTCTCCATATCAGCTGACAATAGAGGCTAAAACAGCTTTAAAAAAGGTTGAAAGTGCAATTAAAAATGCACAGCTTACTAAAGTTAATACTAAAGAACTAGTATCTTTATTAATATTTCCAACTGTGCATACCCCAATGGCAGCCATATGGCAAAGATTGGGATTTATTGAGTGGATTCATTTAGCCCACTCTCCCCAAAAGACATTAATTCCTTTTCATGACTCTATTACTCAATTAGTAATTAAAGGTAGAACGAGAGTTTTACAATTAATTGGATCTGAACCTGATATTATAATTATTTCATTTTTCTGTTGAACAAAATAATTGGCTTTTTCAAGCTTCTAGTTTATGGCAAATTGCTTTTGCTGATTTTTCTGGTCAGATAGATAGTCATTACCCTTGTGATAAAATTATTCAATTTGCATCAATAACACTGCTTATTTTCCCAAAGATTGTACGTGTACAGCCCATAGATGGAGCCCTATTAGTGTTCACTAATGGTTCAAGCTCAGGTAAAGCAGGTTTTTATAGACTTGTTCACACAGAGGTAATACAAACCTCATATACTTCTGCCCAAAGAGCAGAGCTACAAGCTCTCATTTGTGCCTTAAATTACTTTACAAATGAGCCTATTGATATTTATTCTGACAGCTTATATGCAGTCGGAGTTACCAAAAATATTGAAACTTCAGTTATTGGATATACCTCATCACAAGAGCTATTTAAATTATTTCATAACCTACAAAAGGCGGTACAAATGCAAAAATACCCATGTTTCATAGGACATATAAGAGCTCACACTAATCTTCCAGGACCTTTAACTTCAGGTAATGACAAGATTGATAAATTAGTAGCTGTTTGTCAACAGATATCTCCATATGATTGTGCACAAGCCTCACATTCCTTGCACCATCAGAATGCTTGTAGCTTATGTAAAAAATTTAATATTACCAGAGAACAAGCTTGTCAAATTGTAAGTCACTGCCCCAAGGGTGTTTTTCACACTCCATCTCTGCCATCAGGGATAAATCCCCGTGGGTTAAAACCAAATCAAATATGGCAAATGGATGTAACTCATATTCCTCAATTTGGTAAACAATGTTATGTACATGTGATAGTTGATACACATTCCAGATTTATTTTTGCCACAGCACGTACAAAAGAAAATACTCAACATGTAATTTCTCACTGCCTAGCAGCCTTTGCTGTGTTAGGATGCCCTTTGCAGATTAAAATAGATAATGCACCAGCTTATGTAAGCTCTTC